CCCCCCCCCCCCATAAATGTGACTCCCAGTGTCTGTAAGTTGTGGCTTGAGACCCTCGTTCATATTATTTTGTCATCATTGTTCCATCATTGCCACCCTCTATGATTCAATTAGGACACACGGTAATACAAAAGGGGGTTCACCCATAGTTAATCATAATCTTTATTCACTAGGGAGGTCCTTTGGGTAAAGGAGGGCTGATACACACACAGAAAAGTGTGTGTGTGTGTTAGCCCTGTAAAGGCCCCGATGAGTTGTCTGTGGAATAAGGGAGGGGAATAAGGACGGAGTGAAGGGAGGAAGGCTTCTGTTTTGATGCACTCTTTCCTCTCAACTTTTTCCCCTCCGTTTTTTTCCCTCCCTCTCAACTGCTCTTCAGATGTTCCTCATTCCTTCAAATGGTTCCTCTCCCTCCTCCTTCTGTCCTTCACTGTGTCTCAGTAGGATCTGCACATTCTAATCCGTTCTGCTCGAATGCCCCTAACGGACAAACACACACACAGTTCCTCACACCCACTAGCTCACTTTCACACAAGCCATGACACACACACCTTTTCCACTTTCTTCTCTCTCCCTCTCTCTGACACAAATGAGCACCTGCAGGCTTACTTGGATAAGCACACGCATGTACAGAATGTAGGCTTGCGTGTGTACACACACACACACACACACACACACACACACACACACACACACACACACACACACACACTGGCGGGATGTCTGTCTTGTCAGCAGCTGGCTCCTGGGGTCTGCCCTTCTGCTGCTGTTTTTGTCTCCTCCTTCATTTCATATTGGATGCTGTGTGTGTATGTGCATGATATAGTGTGTGTTGAACTGTAGCATCATGTTTGTCTAGGAGTCAGCTAGAAAGCCCAAGTTTTTCCCAGCCTTCTCTCTAGGAGTTTGCCTGCCTGTGTGTGTTGACCTGTAACTGTTTTGAGTCTCCCTGATTTCCTGCCTGGTTACTGATTAAAGCCCCCTGCACCTAAACACATGTTCAAGTTCAAAGTTAAAGCCTTTTATTGTCATTATACAAAAAATACAACAAATTTGGAACATGGATTCCACGCCTCTTTGTTCATCTTCTCCTCTTGCTCTTCAGGCTATGAGAAGTACAACTCGATGCGAGCGGACGCCGCCCTGTGTTTCTTGGAGAGGGTGGGCATGCCGGATGCCAAGGCCATCGCAGCGGAGCAGAGGAGCTCTGACATGATGACAGATGGTGTGGATGGGTAAGAGAGCAGCCTTTACTCAGCCCTGCTTTTATTCTTCCATCTCTGTGATTTGTCCCATTGTAACAACAGTTTAAACAGCTGCTAGCTTATATGAAGGTTTTTATCAGTTTCTATACTTAATTACTTTGAAATATAAATGTCAGGGATTTAATTTCACCAAATACCTTAATGGTGATTGGAAAAATCTTAAGTTAAACTTTATCCTTATTTTGATTTATATCTTAATTTTTCAAATAATTCCAATATTCCCTCTCCTCTTCTTTGTGTTATATTGGAAGTTAAAATGAGCCATTCTCTTGTCTCTACAGTGAGGATGAGGATCCTGAGTACAAGCCCCTGCGTATGCCTTTTAAAGATGACATGGATGACTTCACCAACTCCCCCCTGGATGACACGGTAGAAGGGGACGCTGAAGGTAAGCTTTGAGTACACCCAGAGGCAGGGACGGTAACAGCTGTTCTAACAGCAGAATAATTTAAGCTTTCTATAAGCAGAAGTTCAGAAGGCTCTTGAGTAAACCAAACTGTGAAATCTTCTTTTAACACCGTCCCAAAGAGCCCCCTTTAAAACCATGCAAGATCTCACCAACCTATTCACATCCTCAGTGTGTTTTTAAAAAACAAAAAGTAGGAGAAAGATGTTGTTTTGTATGCCTTTTCCGTCATAGCACATAAAACACAGGCTCTTTGCTGGGTGCTTTACAATGAAGCCTAAAATGTATAAGAAGTGATGGAATAATATCACTGTTTTCACTGTTTGCCATCACAGTGCCGTTATTAAAGTGTCTCTGGCATTAGACAGGTGATGTTAGCATAGCTGTAGATGTACTGATTCCACCCAGTAGCTGCGATAATAAAAAAACAACGGGAAAACGTATGAGGCTGGTCTTAGAAATGGGAAATAACAGCTAACGGAAGGTCATTAAATGTAAGGTAAAAACAAATGGCATCACTCTATACCTGGTTAGTGTTGCCTCACTTTATATAAGTGTGTGGTAGCGTACTAGTCACTTTGCTCAGCGCCCCGCCTCCAATACCTGTCAAATACCAATAATGAAATAACTCATGCCATCATTGGAGTGGGGCCAGATTAGAACGAGTGTTCAGGGCCAAGAGACTTTGGTGGTAACAGGAAGAACCGGTGCTTAATCGGGCACTAGCTCCGAACTGGCCGTGGATCTGCTTTGGTGGGAAAGGGGCAAGTGTGGTTCCTGACTGTGTTCCTCCCTTCTCTCATGCAGCTAAATCAGGTGAGAATGGTCAAAGTGGACCTGCTCCGGGCGGAGCTTCGGGCTCCAACGAGCGACTCTATTGGCCGGCCGCCTCGGCTCTGACTGCCCGTCTGCGCCGCCTCATCACGGCCTACCAGCGCTCCAACCGCAGGGAGCAGCTCCGCCAGGAGGCCGTCAACCGGCCCGACGGGCGCAGGCGGCGGCGCAGGGACTTCCTGCCTGCCATCGGCATGGTTACCGACACAGGAGGAGGGGGGGCAGCCTATATCCAAGATGGAGCAGGGGTGTTCATGACGGAAGGAAGCCCGTATATGGCTAAAGGAAGTGCCTACTTTGCCAAAGGTGGGCAGTTCGTGGCAGAGGCGTCGCCGGTGATGACTGCCAGCTCCCTGATGCCTGATGGAGCCATGTACTACAAGGAGAGGAGACAAAGGTAGGGCTCATTTAACGTTGCTTGTATAGGAATGGTGTTAAAGAACTGTACCAACAAACATATTTATTTTGTAAATGGACCTTTGCTCACACGTTTTCTCTATCAGATGGACTCGTCGTGAGGAGGCAGATTTCTACCGTGTGGTGTCCACCTTCGGGGTCGTCTTTGACACTCAGCGTCAGAAATTCGACTGGGCTCAGTTCAGGGCCTTTGCTCGACTGGACAAGAAAACAGATGAGAGCTTGGAGAAATATTACTACTCGTTCATTGCCATGTGTAAGCGGGTCTGCAGAATGCAGAACAAGAGTGAAGCGCGTAAGTTACTGTGACACAGAAACAAATGTATTTCACCTCTAAATAACAGCTGTGTGGTTGATGAAGTTTGTTTGAGTACTAGGGTAAAATTGTCTAACATGTATGATTCTGTATTTTACCTCCTCAGAACTCCCAGACCCCACCCTGATCATCGACCCGATCACAGAGGAGCGCGCCTCCCGCACCCTGTACCGCATCGAGCTGCTGCGGCGCATCCGGGAACAGGTCCTCCCCCACCCGCTGCTCTCTGAGCGCCTCAAGCTCTGCCAGTCCTCCCCTGACCTCCCGGAGTGGTGGGAGAGCGGACGCCATGACCACGACCTCATCCTGGGGGCCTCTAAGCACGGAGTCAGTCGCACAGATTATCACATTCTAAACGACCCCACCTTGGCCTTCCTGGATGCTCACCAGCGTTCCACCAGCCAGAGAGGGGGAGTCAAGGGAGAGAACACCAAAGCGGGGATGGGAGGACCGGACACTACCGGACTTCTCCTCACCTCTGACGAGCTGGCCAGCGCCGCAGCAGCTGCGACGATTGCTATGAATGCAGCTCAAGAGGAGGAGGAGGAGGAAGAAGAAGGGAAGGAGGAGAAGACGGAGGTCAAAATGGAAACGGAACAAGGAGACGCTAACAACATTCCATGTTTTAAGACTGAAGCTCCTGGGGAGCAGAAGGAAAATGAGGCAGAGGTCAGAGAAGGGAAAGATGACATTGCTGCGTCGCCGAAAGAGGAGGGTAAGTCCCAGACCAAAGTAGAAGAAGAGGAGCAGGAAGAGCTGAAAGAGGAGCCCAGTGCAGAGGGAGAGAAGAGTTCCAAACCAGCAGAGGACGAAGAAGAGGAGGTACCAGAAGAGAAGAAGAGTCTGACTCCTGCTGACTCTCCCACCGCTGAGCTCACAGAACACCCCCCCTCCTCTCCTAAAGCACAACCCCACCACAAATCTGCAGAGAAAGAGGAGACTGAGGTGAACCCAGAGTCTCCAAAGTCAGCTGACCCAGAGGAGGAAGAGAGGATGGATGAAGATGACAAATCAGAGAAGTCCTCTCAGGCTGAAGGTACTGGAACATGTATTTCTCTGACATTAGCTGGAGTAGTGTTCATTGTTTGTCATGTTTCCCACAGGGATGATGACAGTTCTACATGTAGCTCTAACACACTTACCTACCTCTACTCTTGTTTATGATTATCCCATTGGGGTTGTTGTTCTCCAAAAATGAATTTTGAGCCCCTTCATATGTTTTGATAATCCTCTTTTTAATTTAGAGTGGCAGCCTAACTTTCCCTCTGTCAACACAGCGAGTGCTGCATCAGAGCAGAAGAACTTTGATGAGGAGAGCATGGCCTCTCTGAGCACGTCTGCCCAGAACGAAACCAGAGATGGCTTCTGCCCCGACGACCTGCCGGAGACCACAGCACTGCACGCCTTACAAGAGCGCGCCTACGCCTTCTCATTCTGGCCCAAGGTGAGTCCAATTATAGCCAGACAAATAAAGAACATCCAACAAAGGCTGCGTGATTATCATACTGTCATTATTTGATAACTCCGGTTGTTTCCACTGTTTTATAAATGGCTGCACATGTTTCAGATTACATCACAGCGTTATGGATTAGTGATTTCAGTCATCAACAACTCTGAGGGAGATTTTCTGGTATTTTATAGACTGAAACAATCAGAAGCAGATTGTTCCATTATAGAAACAAATACTCAAAGAAACAGGAAGATTCTACCCTCTGAGGGTTTTATGTGGAACATCTGTTCAGTGAGTGCTGAGTTCCAGAGAGTAGCTCAACAGTGATTGTAGATATGGCAATAGTGAAGCCACTGGCATTAGCTTAAATGATATAAGTGCAATATAAGCCTATAGTATTACTGCACTGTGTAGGAAAAGCTCTAGTGGTGGATATGAACAGTCATATCACAGCTTCAGACCATAACTGCATGTGTTCGCTTGTATCCAGAACTAATAAACCATTTGTAGACTTCAAGATGATGCAACATGGTATACTGTTACTTTATAAACAAAACCCAGCTCTAATCAGCTCTCTGCCCCCCCAGGACCGGCTGATGATCAACAGGATGGATAACATCTGTGAGACTGTCCTGAAGGGCAAGTGGCCTGTCAACAGACGCCACATCTTCGACTTCCCCGGCAACCTGTTGCCAGGGCAGGGCTCCGCCCTCCCCACAGCGGCCGCCGCCACATTGACAGAGAGCCCGCTGCAGAGGCGGAGCCTCGCCGAGCTCACCATGGCCGTCATCCACACACCGTACAGCGGGAGCGAGGACAAAACACTGTCGCCACAGTTTCATGTGAGTGCACCTCACATCGGTTTATTATGAAAAATATATATATTCAAAGCCTTGTTTATAACTTGTCACTTTTAAGCTTGATAAGAAAACATTTACATTATTGATCCCCATTTTGGAATATTTTATGCAAGGCATTGTATATATATATATAATGTGAAAATAAAAGCAGAAAATATACAAACACAAAATTATAAACATCTCAAAATAGAACTAAAATATGTTGACAGTGAACTATAAATCTGTGAAATAAACACTTTGGAGGGCCATATTACAGCAGGATTTTATTTATTTTAAGTGTGTAAGTAATAACATATTAATGATAGAGTTTGAGGATCAGTTACAAACTTAAACCTAGTGCTGCGCTATCCTGATCTGTGTCAGTTGCTCCCAGTTCTGTGACTCCTGCCATTAGACAGATGCAGTTTAACTTCCCCTGATGTTGTAGGAAGACGCTCTGACCCTGCCTCGCCAGAGGAGGAGGAGGAGGAGGAAGATTGAGATCGAGGCGGAGCGAGCCACTAAGAGACGTAACCTGATGGAGATGGTGGCTCAGCTGAGAGAGAGCCACTCTGCCACGGACACCCAGAGCCAGGCCATAGACCTCACCAAGGTGCAGCCATCGTTCATTCATATCATGCAGAACGACAAAGAACTAATATTGTAGTCAAACTAAAACTGATGTGATGTGTTGTTCAGGGTATGCACCATCATCATAAGGCAGCTCCCTCATTGGCCGGCTTTCCCAGTGCCCTGGCAACAAGCCCCTCCCTCAAAGCCCAGATGGAGTTGCTGCTGCAAGCCCCGCCCTCTGCGCACAGAGCCAATGGTTCACTGGAGGCTGACCTGCCAATCATGAGGAGGAGGCGGGGCCGCAGGAAAAATGTTGAAGGCCTGGAGCTGCTGTTCATGGGCAACAAGAGAGCAGGAGGGGTAAGCAGTGTGTTGAACAAGCAGGACAGATTTCAGTGTTGCACAACAGCTTGTCAATGTTCCTTCTCCCCCGCTCTCCGTCAGGATGATGCTGATGGGACGAAGGCTTCAGGTGTGGAGGGGCTTCAGGATGCTGCTCGTGCCCACAGACCCGTCCCAGAGCAGAGCCCCAGTGCCAGGTCTCTGGCCTCTGGCAGTATGGAGGAGGAGGAGGCTGCCGTGTCCAACAAAGAGCTGGGGGAGTGGCTGAGGCAGCACCCCACCTACACCATGGACATGGCTGCTTTCACACCAGTACGACCCCTCTTTACATTTATCCATCTTCTTCACCTTAAATCCTTTCTTAGTGTAACCAGAAGCATCATATCGGTTGTTCTCTTGCTTGCCTTTCTCAGCCTCTAGTTATTCACACCTTTGTATTTGTGTCTTCCCACAACAGAAGAGCGAGGATGTACTGCTGTCTCAGTTTTCTAAGCCCAAGCAGAAACGCCATCGCTGTCGAAACCCAAACAAGATCGACATAAACACCCTGACTGGAGAGGAGAGGGTGCCTGTGGTGAACAGACGCAACGGACGCAAGGTGCAGTGAATACCTGAGGACCACTGCCTACATGTTGAAACTGAATTGATTTTCCAAGGTAAACTAATTTCATCTTCCTCTTCCTCAGATGGGTGGGGCCATGGCTCCACCAATGAAGGAGCTTCCCCGATGGTTACTGGAGAACACAGAGTATTCCATCGCCCCTGATTGGACCGATATAGTGAAACAGTCGGTTAGTAAAAGTTAAAACCTGTCAATAATGACTAACTGTTTATAAGAAGTCTCTGTTACACCATCTGTTTCCTGTAAGCCCTCTGAGCCCAGCCCTCTCACTTTCTACGTGAGTAGTTTGTTTTCTAACCTGAGGTCCTCCTACCTGCAGGGTTTCCTCCCAGAAGCCATGTTTGACCGTCTCCTGACCGGCCCTGTGGTCAGAGAGGAGGGCGTCCGCCGCAGAGGAAGAAGACCCAAATCTGAGATCGCCAAGGCAGCCGCTCAGGCTTCAGCAGCAGCTCAGGCTGCACAGGTCTCTCTGCTGTCTGCTGCCTCATCTGCAGGTACACACACACACACACACACACACACACACACACACACACACACACACACACACACACACACACACACACACACACAGTAACCCCCTGTCATCTCTGATCTGTTAAATCACAAATTCTGTGTTAGAGTACTTGAGAGCAGTTATGATTCAAAGGCTTCCTCATCATAAGCACAGCAGCCACAGTGTAGATATGGCAACAAACTAAACACTATAAGACTAGTTCAAGAAGAAACAGAGTACAAATAAATGACCAAGTAGTGCAGGAGAAGTAAAATAAATACAATAAGCTAAATGTTGCAGAGAAAGTTGTAAGTGACCTATAAATGCAGGAGTACATGTAGAATGTTCTGAAGGGTTGTGGATGTTCCTCTGTGTGTGTGTGCAGGAGGCATCAACCCTCTGCTGCTGAGCAGTCTGTTCGGGGGCATGGACCTGTCCTCCCTGCAGAGCCTGCAGTCTCTTCAGCTGGCTGCCGGGCTGATGGGCTTCCCCCACCCCTCGGACCCCAAGCAGGCGGCTGCCAGCGCCGCTGCCTCCATGCTGCCCCTAATGCTGCCCGGGATGGGGGGCCTGCCCAATATGGCCGCCCTCCCCAACATGTTCAGCCTGAGCGGGCTGTTTGGCGGGAACCTTGCCACGGTGGCAGCTGCCGCCGCTGCATCCAGCCCCCGCGCTGCGACGTCCCAGAACAGCAACGGAACCATGCAGTGTGAGGGGGGGGACGGAGAGGGGGAAGACTATGACGAGGAGGAGGCAGTGGAGGAGGTGGAGGCTAATAGTGAGAGAGCCGCGAAGAAGGCGAGGAAGAGGAGGAGGCGGGAGCAGGCAGGAAGTGATGTCACTGCTCAGACCCTCGCTGCTGACTCGTCAGTGGCCTCCATCAACGGGGACGCCGCCGCCTTGCTTGCTGCAGCGGGCATGTCGGCCAGCTCTCTGGCCTTCAACCCCTTCCTGCTGTCCACCATGGCCCCCGGCCTGCTCTACCCCTCCATGTTCCTGCCTCCAGGCCTGGGGGGGCTCAGCCTCCCGGGCTTCCCCTCCGCCTCCACCCTGGCCGAGCTGCAGAGCGCCATGGCCGGAGCTCTGGGGGGCAACGCCCTGACCACAACCCTCCCCAGTAACCAGGAGAGGAAGGGGGAGCTTAAAGCTACAGCAGAGGAGGAGGAGGAGGAAGACAGTGACTTGGCTGAGGAGAAAGACGGAGCGGAGGAGGAGGATGAGCTGAGAGAAGATTCAGCGCTGGAGGATGTAGGGATGGGGGAGGAAGAGGAGGAGGAGGAGGAAGTGGAGGAGGTGAGGGAGGCGGCAGGAGCGTCTCCACTGAAGGACAACAGTGACTGAATAACACAGTGAACCCCCCCTCCCCCTACCACGTTTACACGCCTCCACCAGAAATATCCAAACTGTTATGAATCCTGTTTTTTTCTTTACATTGTTGTTGATGATTTCTCACTGTTATTATTTTGACCAGGTGTATGACTATGCGTCAGAGAGTGTGGTGTGCGTGTGTTAAGTTAAACCTCTCTGATGGATCATCAGGGAAAACCCTTCAGACCCTTCTCTGCCCTCAGACTTCCCATGTTCCAGCAGAGCTATGATTCTTAATTATTATATTAGTATCGCTGCTGCTCTCAGACTTCACTGGTCGTTTTGCTTCCTTTAACGCCTGGACTGTTAAGTTGTTGTCGGCAGCATCGCTTCGCAAAAAAACGGCATTACGTCTGACTAACAACGTTGCTGCGAGAGGAATTGTGGGTAATGGAGTTGGAACTGTTCTGTTTCAGAGCAGAGTTTTAAGTTCTCACATATTGGACCAGGTAGACTCTGAGGAGGCAGAGAAACCAGACTGGCCTAAACTCAGTCTCACATACTGATCATAAGCCACACACACACACACACACACACACACACACACACACACACACACACACACACACACACACACACACACACACACACACACACACACTACCCCCGCAGCTGTTCCTGTGTGTGTGCGCGCGCGTCACACTGAACCAATACTGTTACCAGTCCCACACTGTCAGTCTGAGTCTTTCCACCGCCGCTCCTCTTCCTGTCTCTCGGTGGGAAGCAGCCTCACGAGGACTCTGTGATCGATGACTCCTCGTCAATACTAAGTTCCGGAAGGAGTAGTATTCGTGCTCGCGGTGTCACATCTATACCGGTTGTTCGATTTGTGATATTCCTGATCGGAAAGTTCTTCTTTGTCTCGATGTTTATTTACTGGTGCTCACGGGTCGTCTTCATTTTTAATTTATGTTATTCGCGATTTACAACGTCTCTTTTCAACATTCACTGGGTATATTTACGTCCCTCATTGTACATCTTACAAACTTCGCCAACACCTACAACAGGAGAACACTACACACACGTCCTCCGGTAGTTGAGACGACGAACTTCGCTCAGACAAGCCCCGTAACCTGGAACCGAAGGAGGGACGTCTCGGACGATCCAGAGAAGTCGACCCGACGGCCGACTACCCGGAAGGGGTTGGGAGAGCTGCGGGGTTCGTCCGCCACGTCGCAGGCGACGGAAGGTACGACGGGCGATTACGACGGGCCTACCGCCGGACGGGTATACCGGCGGGAGGGTTGTAAAGTCGAGACTCGCCGGACAAACCGCCTTGAACGGGTGCCACCGTCCGACCGGCCGGCGGACGTAAGGTCTGCGGCGACGCTGCAGGGTCTTGCGTTGCCTTGGTCGTCACACTCCCCCCCTGCCTGCTCCTTCTGATACTGCTCCTCCTCCCGTCACCTCCTGGCCACCTCGGGATTATCACTCTCTCGGCGGGCTTTCTTCCGCTCCTCTCCTCCTCCGCCCTCGTCCGTCCTTCACTACGAGTGACCGAGCTGGGAGCGACGACTGAGCAAGTCACGGAGGTAGTTGCCCCGCCGGCGGCGGAACGAACCGACGTTCGGCCGGTACGAAGCCGGTCGAGAGACGGGAAGTTTTGGGGAAGGACGACCGTAGGTGGTACCGGGCTGGACGAATGGGGGAGGTACAAGCGAGGTCCGGGAAACCCCGAAGTCGGAGGCCCGAAGGGAGGCGGAGTGGCGACGGCTCGGACCGTCTCCGCGGTACCGGCGCTCGAGACGCCCCGGTTGCGGGAAACCTTGGTGGTTGGGAGGGGTCATTGTCCTCTCCCTTCCGCCGAATTCGATGCGGTCTCTCCTCCTCCCTCCTTGCTGTAACTGACCGAACTCTCTTTCTGCCTCGCTCTCGCTCCTACTCGACTCTCTTCTAAGTCGCGACGCTCCTACATCCTGACCTCTCCTCTCTCCTCGCTTCACCTCCTCCTCCTCCGGCCCGTCCTCGCCAGAGGTGAACTTCCTGTTGTCACTGACTTTATTGGGTGTCACTTGGGGGGGAGGGGGATGGTGCAAATGTGCGGGACGGTGGTCTTTATAGGGTTTGACAATAACTGTTAGGACAATAAAAGAAAATGTAACAACAACTACTAAGAGTGACAATAATAAAACTGTCCACATACTGATACGCAGTCCTCTCACACACACGCACGACAAATTCAAATTTGGAGAGACTACCTAGTAGTCCCTTTTGGGAAAGTCTGGGAGAGACGGGAAGTCTTTGAAAGGGTACAAGGTCGTCTCGACTACTAAGTACATTAACTATATATAATCATAGCGGACGACGGGAGAGTCTGAAAGTGACCAGCAAAACGAAGGAAATTGCCGGACCTGACGAATTCAACAACAGCCGCGTAAAACGGTAGCTGAAAAGCGGTTTTTTTGCCGTAATGCGACTGATTGTTGCAACGACGCTCTCCTTACGAACCCATTACCTTCCAACCCTTGGACAAAGACGACAAGTCTCGTCTCAAAAAATTCAAGAGTGTATAAACCTGGTCCCTCTGGACCTCCTCCCGTTCTCACTTGCGTCTGACCGGATTGAGTCAGAGTGTATGACTAGTATTCGGTGTGTGTGTGTGGGCGTGTGTGTGTTGTGTGTGTGTGTGTGTGTGTGTGTGTGTGTGTGTGTGTGTGTGATGGGGCGGTCGACAAGAACACACCAGCGCGCGCGCAGTGTGACTTGGTTATGACAATGGTCAGGGTGTGACAGTCCGAGACTCAGAAAGGTGGCGGGCGAGGACGAAGACAGAGAGCCACCTTCGTCGGAGTGCTCTGAGACACGTTA